CCCAACTTCTCTCATTATATTTATGTACATGGCATTACTACAGTTGTAATAATACTAAACGATACCGCTTCCATCACGCATAAGCAATTGCCTCCCACTTTCATACAGGAACCAGTTCCTACTTGCCCATTAGAAGGCATTACACTTTGGAATTATCACATTCATGATCTCCGAATTATTTGTAGATTAAATGATTTGAAAAATGTGTAATGAATTTGCTCTCATGCAATTTATAAAACTTAGACGACTTCTAAGATTTCTTCATCATCAAAACTTCACTGTAGTTTGACTAAGATATTGTTAAAAGTAAGCTGTTTCTGAATTACTAGTCACATTTATCCTTACAAATGAACTTAATTCCTGAACTAGCTCATTGCAGGGTCCCACAAGCATCAGTGGCAGCACTTAGCTTGCACTCTTGGCAAACCACAGATTGAAAGATTCTGCAACATGGATTTCTATTTACAGAAATTGCATGTTATAGCATCCTTCAGTTCTGTCACTGTTCCTGCAGTGCTGTAAAACCAAGAGAGATTTTGACTTCAAAAAGTCAAATTATGGAAGGGAAGTGTTATGTAAGGTATCTTGGTAAAGGGTATCCCCTATGCTACTTCATTATAAATGTTCTGATAAAAGCATAACAAACATTTCTGACAAATTATACGAGAACGGTCATTATGGAAAAGTCTTTGCCTCACAGGAATCCAAATGCATCTTCTGGTGACGTTTTACTTACTGCCTCTTTGGCAATCTCTCATCTTAATTCCCAGCTTTACTCTTACTGACAATAAAGAGTAACAATGGAATAATAACATGAATAACACAAAACCAGAGCAGCACTATCTGGCTGTTGGAAAATTACAAAAGGAAAAACAGTAAGTCTACATAGCAACAGGCTGAGAGATGAAGCAGTGGTTCAGACAGGACACAAATGCAGCAGATCAAGTGCATCATCAATCTAAGTCTATTTTTAAATAATAGATCCCTAACCTATCTTGATTTGGGGTTCACATCTCAACACATCATGGCCTTGTTTCAGGACTGCTGAACACACTTCAGAGACCTGTAAATATTTTAGCATTTTGTAGCATCCTTTTTTTTTCAGTTTATCTTATATTTAGTATAGATACCAAAACATTTTGATACATGACTGCTTGTGGGAAAATGAATGACAGAGAAAGAAGTACATTTATGTAAGATAAATTATTAAGGTATTGCTTGAAAAATTGACATATTATAAAGACTGATATTCTCATTATCAAAGAGCAATAGGACAATTTGAGTTAATTTTAGAAAAATGAAAATTACTAGTCAGTCCTGCTCACTAACAATAGCAATCACCTCTATTTACACGAAAGATAAATGCACTGTATGAACGTAATAGAGAAATTCAGTAACCAAAAGTGAATCTCTCCCTCACATTCAATTGCTGTTGCGCCCACTCCGGTGGATACAATGTCACATCCTCCCACGGGATCTAGCCTGTTAGCAGCTAGTCAATATGAGTTCAAGGCAGTTCTTTGTTAGGTCTAAAGTCTTGTTCTCCCAACGGCCACACAAATCACAAGTTTTAACTGCCATGTTAACGTCATCTGCCTACTCAGGTGGTGCTGGTGTATAAGTAGTCATAGAAAACACATGAGCAAATTGCTTTGGAACAGTAATAAACATAATAAATATGTGAACATAATAAATACATGAAATTGTGTTCCGAGAAACTATTCTTCTACAAAGCATTCAGAGAGAGACTAGATTTATGAAGCAAGAACTAAAGGAAGTGTAAAACCCTAGAACTGGCAGTGCTGTTTGTTATGCCCAGAACAGACTTTATTTTAATGCATGCAAAGCTCTCTCCCTCTCTTCCTCCAAGATACTCCTTGAATCCCATCTGTTCTGTGGTGCATTGCACTTAACAAGAGCCACCCACCATGCCATTCCAGCATTGTACCATTCAGTGTTGTCCTGTGCAGTTCCAGCTCGTGCTCCTAAACCGCAATCTCTTCCAGAGGGAAAAACTCCTATTTGTCTGACACAGTTCTCCTATTGTACTCAGCCCTGTGTGCTTCCATCACTGTAAAAACAACGACGTGCTTGAAGAGGAAAGGCTTAGTAATTAGGAAGAGAGAAGTATTTTATTGCCAGAGCTTAGCATTCGGATGTATTGTTTCAGCACATTAATACAGTCATGCTATATTTACCCTCCCCCCGCAGCGAGCAGCCTTGTCTGTGATGGCAAGGAGCCACCCTTTCATAAAACTGCAGCGACCGCAGTTATGAAAAGCCTTGGCATTGTGCGGGGTGGCGGTCAACTTGCAGATATTAAACCGTGTTCAGCAGCATTAACACTGAACGCTTGAAACACGACAAAAGGTCTGGAAATCACCATGGTTATGCATTGATCCTGAAAATTACCCTATGTGGCCAGATCTTTCCCATCAACCAAAGCCCTACTCATTGCAATAGAGCTCCCCAGGGCACTGGGATTCACCTGCCAGGAATATCCCCCCCCAGCATCTGCAATTTTCCCACAGTGACGTTACACTTCAATGGCATTTTTATTTCCTACTTTTCCTGTTGTGGTTTTAATATAGAAACAAGGCTACGAGTGCGAGACCTTCCCAGGGTTTGTTGGAAGGCTTCTTCTGGTCTCAGAGATGCTATGAACCCTTTGGGACTGAAACCGCCCTCTGTTTGCGCTCTGCCCTATACCATGAAGTCTCGGCAAATTACTAGAACTCTTCAAGATAAAGTCAGTAATTAAATAAACTGCCTGCACTGTGAGCCCATGCACCAGGACTGCAGCAGCAATGACACTTTAACCACTTTAATGTACGCGCAGACTTAGGGAGCACTCTGAAAAGCGACAAGCACCACCTCCCCTCCACGCTTACAGGCCTAAATACTGCCGAGGGGACTGAAAATGCAACTCTCCCCCCTTAGCGAGCTACCTGGAAGGCCACACCGAAACGCTGCTGTGGTCGCTCTCCTACAGCTCCCTCCAGAAGGGCGCTGGAGGGCGTTTAGCCAGCCAAGGCAAGGCAGGGGTCTGCCTTACACCGTCCCAAGTGGCAACACACCGCCCTTAGAGGCTTTTTTCCCTCAGACCGAAAGCGCACAGCGCTGGCTCCCCCTCGGCGGTGAGTCACGACGAATGAAAAGAGGGGTTTTCAGTAATTCAGGCGGGCACAGAGAAGCCCGGGCGTTGCCGGTGGCTGAAAGGGTTTTCTGGAAGTGCCGTGGGTTTCGGCCCCTGGAAGCGGCAGCGGGCGGCCCCCCGGGCACGCCTGCTGAGGGAGGTCCGCGGCCTGGCCCTGCGCCTCTGCCTTGGCTGAGAGATGCGGGAACGGGCACCCCGTTAATTACGTGTTTGACCGTGCTTTCAACATTCGGTTCACTTTTTGGAGACGGGACGGAAAAATTTATACGAATTTGTAACGTTCATTGTTTTGGTTTTAAATTTTAATTGAGTCGGGGAGAAAAGCAAATGAAGGCCTTCTGCGTAACGTTTTTACGCTGCAGTAGGTTATTAAATCATGTTTATGCTGGGTTTCTGTAGGAGACAGGGACCTGCTTTACACCTGCTTGTGCCAAGATTGTGAATGTGAGCTTTCCATACAAAGCCTTATTTACAGTTTAATTTCCACAGCCTGATTTTCAGGTTAATTTCTGTAGCCTCATTACAAAGCATAACATGACATTTCAGATTTGTTTTCATGCCTTAGTTTGTCCAGAAGCTGAATCTTTGTCTAAACGATGGGAATAAAATTGGCTTTCTGGCAGAAATATTGTAGCAGAATTATATGAAAAATAGGTAGCTTTCTTTGCTAAGTTGTACATAATTCAGGACGTGACCGTACTGGGTAGTCCAAATAATATCTGTTGAAGTGGTACTTTTTTAACATCTTGCTTTGATACCATTCAGAAATTACCTGGCTTGTGAGCCTAAGAGCATGAGTGAATTGAAATGTACTTGGATGATGAGAACAAGCTATTTTTCAGTCCTTATGATCCATCTTGCAAGTGTGGCTGTAAGACCCAGAGTTCCTCTGAGGCTTAGGTATCTCTAGATTGTCAGCTCCTGTTTTCACGGCAGCTATCTGAAGAAAATCTTTATGTTCGGCTCCTTAAACAGTCAATGATCATCTTTGTTTGGATGAAAAATTCACTATAAGCTATTAAATCTTAAAATACCATTCAAACCACGCTTGGCTTTTAGGAAAATCACACTGTTGAATAAATGAGTATTCTTGACTAAGCATGGGGTGTTGACTGAATTGTTAGGACAGCTTTTGGCAGAAGGTACCATGAGGCTATTTTGTTAAGTTTATTCAACTAGTTCTATTCAATAACTCAGTATTTAAATTTCACAGCATTCTTCCCTCCTCTCCCCCCACCCGCCCTTTCCTATAATAAAACTGAAGAGTAAGAGAATGTGTTCTATAACATGGTGAAGTAGCAGCCATGTAGTACAGCCATGTACGGAATCTAATTACTTCTAGTCACTGAAAGTAATTAGATTATCTAACTATGAATCCATTCTTTTGCTTAATGAGCTTGCTTCAAAAAATATATTTGAACGTTTTTTCCTCATTTACCCTCTAGTATTAAAACTGCTTGGTTTAAACAATAAAAGATTTCTTTTTCTGCCGGACATTTTTCTTAGTCACTAAGTTTCAGTTTCTATTCAAATATTGCTTTGGCTCATGAGCCAAAAAACCCCCAACTAACATTATCCATTACAGTTGAAAATTTTAAAAATATGAGAATCAGAATAAGTTGAGCTACACAATTCCCTAAATACATATTTATGGATCAGCATGATTTTCTGTTAAAATGAAATACAAAGTAACACAAATTACGATTAAAAAGAGAAAACCCGCAGCAAACGTAGGTTGTTTTGTGGGGCGGTGTGATCGGTGTAGTTAAAATCATTGATTAAAGTGAGTTCATCCTACCATGTTGTAAGAGAGGGTTTGAGCACTTCAGGTGAGTCACGACGAATGAAAAGAGGGGTTTTCAGTAATTCAGGCGGGCACAGAGAAGCCCGGGCGTTGCCGGTGGCTGAAAGGGTTTTCTGGAAGTGCCGTGGGTTTCGGCCCCTGGAAGCGGCAGCGGGCGGCCCCCCGGGGGCCCGCCTGCTGAGGGGGGGCCGCGGCCTGGCCCTGCGCCTCCGCCCTGGGCGCGAGGTGCGGG